AAAACCTAACTTCAAACGGCCCCTAAATGAATGGTTGTTAAGCTGAGGACTGCCTGTACATGGCCATGGTATGCTTCTATTCTGGCAGAAATCAACAGGCAATGCCCATTTTACGAACATGAAAATGCCAGAATTTTGTTTGCTGTTTCCTATCCCTAATGTAGATTTTAGAGAATTTCACTGCCAAAAACATAGATGGAAGCCTTATCCTAATCTTATACCTAACAAGACATAAACTTGCAATGTTATCCCATCCAAAATTTATACCCAATTCCCAATTCTGTTCATTTCTTGGCCTATAATATAAAACACTGCTATCTTTGACATGCTTGACATGTTTATCCATACATTAACCTCACATTCTGGGTTACCATATCATACTGAATTATAAAATATCCACCTAGTGACTGCATTATCTAAAAGGCTAGCAGACAGTTGAGTAGTTTGAATTCAGTGTGCTCTGCCAACACGGCCATCATAAATGCCACAAGAACTAGTATGTATAAAAGAATTTCAACTGCCTAGGCTGCCTGAGATGGTTGGGCTCATCCTAGGATCACCTGCTCCCAGCTGGAATCTCCATTGCAGATTCTTCTCTGGCAACAGAGTGGCTTTCCAGATCCTGTGAACTCCTCCCTCAGAATTCCATTATCCATGATGACTCAGGTTTTCAATTCCAACACAAGGTATCTGAATAAGGAATGCTGCGACAGAGGTTGGGATCCCTTATTTTACAGTATATAATGAATTAGTTACCATATCCCAATTCTGAAGCTTTGCTTATCTGGGCCAAAGCTGTCTACTCTGAGAAACATCCTCCTGAATAACTTGCAGAAAACTGCAGCCCTCCCACAAAGTATGAAAAACATATGAAGAACAGTTGCAGGAACTGGGTATGGCTGGTCTAGTGAAAAGAAGGACTAGGGGGGGGCATGATAGCAGTAATCCAGTATTTGGGGGGCTGCCACAAAGAGAGGGTCAAGCTATTTTCCAAAGCAGCAGAAGGTAAGACAAGAAACCATGGATTGAAACAGGAGAGAAGCAACCTGGAATTAAGGAGAAACTTCCTAACAGTGACAACAATTACCAATGGAACAGCTTGTCTTCAGAAGCTGTGGGTGCTTCATCACTGGACAACCACTTCTCTGAAATGGTATAGGGTCTCTTGCTTGAGCAGGGGGTTGGCTTGGAAGATCTACAAGGTCCCTTCCAGCTCTATTCTGATTGAAGGTATATGGCCTTGTATTGAATGTGGACATTCTCCAGGACTGCCTGGAATGGAGGCAAAATGGGAGATATGTTGACTGGATCAGGGAACAACTTAATCCTTCCAAGTCCTATCTGACCATGAATATCTCCTCCAACTTTCTTTTTTGGCTTAGCAGAAGCCTGTCTCATATCTAAGCCAGCCAGCAAGGAAAGGAATCTGAGGAGTAAACTATGAACTTCCCCTGAGCTGTAGATGGATGTATCTGCCTTGAATAACCTTAGTCCTTATAAATAGAATCCACCAAAGACTGTTTTGGTAAGTAAGACATTCCTGACCTGTTCTGCCAGCCTTCAAAAGACTGCTCCTGGCCCCTGCGGGCAGATGTAACTATGTTTGGCTCCTCTTTCTCAGTGAGTCACTTTGTGATTAACTGGAAGAATTCTTGGGCACGTGCAGATGCCAGGCCTGCGTTGTTAGAGGATTGCACTCAGGATTAGTTGGTATACAAACATATTTTCAGTCCCCACCTATGCCCTGAAGAAAGTCTTTCAAGTACAAAAGCTGACCCACTTCAAGAAAAGGGAAGTTTGGCACCCATTCAGTTACTAGTTGATGATTGCTGCTCTTGCAAAATTCCTATTTGAGAACAGAGTCATCCTCAAAAGAATCAATATTGAATGACAGCCCTCCAACAAAAAGCACACTAACATCACAAATCTACAAATGTGATCTGTGTGAGTTGTCAATACAATGGTACCTCCGCACTCATCGTGAATTGGTTCTGGGAGGTGCCATGAATACCAAAAAGGATGAGTATGAAACAATTTTTTCCCATAAGAAATAATGTAATGAGTCACAAGGCCGTTGACATCAGCAGGTTCTAGCTTGTGTGTTGAATACCAAACAAACAATGAGTATCAGGACAAAACTTTGTGTCAAAATGTGTTGAGTACCAAATTCAATGAGTTTCAAAGCAGTAGATTACCAAGGTACCACTGTAGTTGGCAAAGGACTTGAGTTCCATGTCAATGTGAAACCAGAAATTAGAATGGACCCCCTGGGATGTCAAAGAGCTTAAAAAGGCTACATATTGTTGCAGAGAAGAGCAAGTGATTGGAAAAATTAAAATTTCTGCATCTTAGGAATAAAGGATTATGTCCCATTATTCAGCTGGTTCATACATCATGTCAGACCATGGCTTGCTTAACTGTGTTACTTAATCACCAAGTGACTGGATTCATACACTTAAGTCAAAACCAGACAAACCAAAATATGGCTTAGCACAATGTACAAACTGGGTCACTGAGTGAAATCGCTTGCTCAATACTGTCAGCTCAGCACGCAATACTGTTGCAGGGAACTCCAAAACTTCTGGGAACAGTTTTTTTTTCCCAACCCTCCCTGGTGTTGGAAGGATTGGCTTCCAGGAAGAAAGCTTCCTCCAGTAAAACTAGTGCGCTACCAGCAAGCCATGAACACTCTCTCACAAACAACTGCCCTTTGCAGTGGATCAACTAAGATACAAGATAGAACGCTGCAGATATCAAATCTCCGCTCAGAAATAGGCTGAGTCCTCACATCTGTCCCTACCTCCTGTTTTGGGCCAGCAGCTTAGTAATTCCTATTGCCATCATCTCTGTCTCCAGGGACCCCTTGCATTTGAGAGAGACAAGGTTCTCCCCAACAGTACTTTAAACAATATACACAATCTGGGTTGGGGAGATAGGAGATGGAGCACCAGGAGGTCGTTGCATTCTAATGCTTTAAAAATTTCCCCATATGGAACTGAAAAAGCAACTTTAAGATATATGAGCTTCAGTTCCCAGAATTCCCCAGCAAAAGCATGTTGGATGGAGAATTCTGGGAGTTGGTCCACATATATTAAAGTTACCAAGGTTGGGCAACACTGATCCGAGGGATCATTTATCTGGAGAGAGATAAATGCACTGTACTGTGAAAAGACAGCAGAGGTGAGAACTTCTCTCCCAGTTCTCCTGCACATTTCAAAATTTTGCAGCAAATTTAATAACAATAGCACTTAAGACTTATATATTGCTTCACAGTGTTTTACATCCCTCTCTAAGTAGTTTACAGCCAGCATATTGCCCCCAATAACCTGGGTCCTCATTTTACCGACTTCAGAAGGCTGGAAGGATGAAATTTAAGAAACTGCAAGGAAGACATCATTACATGGAAGTTAATACAATCTAGGTTTGCACACAATCTACATTAAACCAACAGATACACATATGAGTAACAAAATTAAGTGAAAATAGAATGTTTTATTCTTTGCAATAATATACAAATCTCCAGCAGCAAAAGATAAATGTCACCTGCACAAAACACATACACATACTTATTCTGCGTTTACCATCTTTTGTATCTATTGTGTTCTGCTTCTGAAAAGTCAGCACCCAAGTTGCTTTGCAGATTCAATGAAGCTATGGCTCCTTAAAATCCTGCTTAAATCACCCTCTTGCTGCAGAAATTTAATCAAAATCTATCTTCAATGCAGTAAGGACCAGAAACCTGCCTTTTTAAAACAGCAGAATACTTAATTCTGCCCAGGCATTCCTTTCTCCCTTTTCTTTTTTCCATGCTGGCTGGGGAATTCTGGGAATTGAAGTCCACCCATCTTCAAGTTGTCAAGGTTGAGAAACACTGTTCTGAATGGTTTGGACTAGATTCTCAGAATGTCTGAACTCAGCTTATGGGAGTTACAATCCACATCTACTGCAGGGCATCAGATCATTTGCCTCTGATATATCAAAAAGTGTGTGTTGGGGGGGTGTTAGACTAGCCCAGTAATCTAGTTTATCTGAAAATAGTGACTTTCCTTGCCTCAACGCTTTCCGGTTTTGCTTTTCACTATGGACTGCAAACTCTTCTCAAATCGCACTGACCCCACCTAACCTCTCCCGCATCCATACAAAAGGCGGCTGTAGGGAGCCTTTTCCCCCCATTCTTCTAGCCGAGGATAACACAAAAACAAGAAGCCACTTTCCAGAATCATCCATCAAACATCGCTTGGTTTGTTTACTGAGAAGCACAAATGCAGCGGCACCCATGTGACCGCTTCATTGTACACAAATTAAACCCATTTTGAACAGCGATTCTCCCCACCACCACCACCCCCAGCCCCGGTCCCTCGCCCAGTCCCAGTAATGAAAGATCCGCATTCTCCAATAATTTGTATTGCACCAATAAATCCCCCCTTTCTTTGTATTGCATAAATCTCCAATTGGCTGTTTGTAACTCCCTTTTCCTCTTCCAAAACCATTTCAGTATCAACAGAAACTATGATTCCGACTCCTCTCCCTTCGCGTACTGAGGTTTTGGGATTGGGGGGGGGGGAGAAATGCACAGCGAAAGCCCTTTTTTGATCCCGTTTCCAAAGACGTTCGCGACCCAAGACAGGCTAACAAGCTAAACAGAATGCAAAAGAATGCATTTCCTGGTGGTGGTTGTTGTTGTTTAAAAAGCAAAAATGAATTAAACCCCAGACTTAGACGCTCCTTCCGGTACTGTAGTGAGCTACGGTATAGTGGGCAAGCTAGGAAGGAGTGGAAAACGTTCAAAAAAAAAAAAAAATCGGCCGTGATGGCACGAAAATACAAAACACCATTCAACAACGCAGCGAGCTTCTTGGCTACTTCATTTCCTCGTTCGACCTCCTTTTGGTTCGCGCCCACCAACCCCACTTGCAAAGGACTGAAATCCGGAGCGGGAGTGGGGGGGTGGGGGGGGGAGAGAGGAGAATAAAAATTGCAGCAAAAAAACAGAGGCTTACCGGAATTATTATCCATGCTGGGTCTCTCTCGCCGTCCTCCTGTTATTAATGCAAACCTGGTTCTTGGGTTGCAAAAAAAAAAATAAAAAAGGGTGGTGGTGGTAGGCAATCGCCTTGAGGAAGGCAATGAAGAGTTGCGCGTTGGGTTCGCTTGCTCGCTTTCGTAGGAAGGACTGGGCTCTCCCAAATGAGCAAAAATAACTAGAAAGGGGGCGATCGGTAGCAAGCCGGCTGTGCGCGGTGAGGGAATCCTCTCCACCGACCCCCCTCTTCTCCTGCCGGCGTGTGTATATGTGAGAGAGGAGAGAGAGAGAGGAGAGAGAAAGAGCGCGCGCGCGTGCTTGCCGACTCCTGAGCCACCGAGCTCTGCAAAATGGTTTGTGCTTCCAGGAGGCAGCGTCGTGTTCTCGATTGCGACTTCCACGTGCTTTCTGAAGCAAGGCTCGGCCAAAAGGCTCGGAAAGCGAGTCGCTCCCCTCCCCAACCCAGTTCCCTTAATTCGAGGCTATGTGGGTGAGCTTTCCTGCTGCGGCTGGTTTATTTTATTTTTTTTTTTTTTTTTGCTTGTTCAACTCCAGAAAACGCTCTTGTTTTCTCGCCAGGCAGGGCGCGGGGGAGTTAGGATCTGGCGTAGCTCCGCGGCTGGCTCATGTGTAGCCTGCATGTGACAGAATCAAAGGCTTGCCCCACTGACACACATTCGGGCAGCCCAAGCGATGACATCAGCTCCGCGGCTGCACATGGGCAGGAGGCGGGGCGGGAGGAGGGAACACAGTGGAGCTGTGGCTGCGCGCGTTGGGTCCCCCCCCCCTGCTTGGGATAGCGAAGGGATGGGGAAGAAATTCACATACGCACCTGGCCTGGCACTGTCCCAGGTGGGACGTAGTCAAACGGTAGGGCTCAAGCTTTTGTCAAGGTAGAAAATGGACCAGGTATTTCGCTGCGAAGCAGGAGCTCCAGCGAGGACAAGGAAAAAAACGTGCAAAGCTTGAGACGCACCGGTTTGCGACTTCTGCTAAGTGTGTGTAGGGGCGCTGCAAAAAAGCAAAGCTGTGCCTCTTTTATTACCTCACAGAGGTTTTGGGTTTGCCCCCTTCCTCAGTGGGAGGAGACATAGCTTTCTACAGCACTTTGTTGTAAACCACCTGGAGACTTAATGAGAGTTGAGAGGCCTACAAGTTTAATAAATTATTACTTTATTATGGTTGGTCACACAGTCAGCCAGATGTTTAGACTCGATTTGACATTTTTATCATCCAATAGAATCCCTCCCAAGGACTTGGGACGGGCAGATGTTTTATTTGGAAGAAAGCTACACATGTTGACTTTGTTATGGTACAGCTGTTTGGTGTGCCTTTGTGCATATGTTAGGAAAAGAGAGATAACACTCCTCTATAATCTGCAAGTTTTGCCCTATGGACATGATTTAGCAAAATTATGGAAAAAGAGTTGTACTGTCTCTGCTAAACATGATTTGAGATTATTTTTCAGAGAAGGGTTTAATTAGGCTATAGATGTATAAACTTACCTGAATGTATGCTTCACTTCACCTAACTAGACTCACTTTTGAGAAGACACATGAAGAATTTAAGGGGAATTCCAGGATTAAGAGAATTCCTTAATTTTCTTAATTTCTCTAGGATTAAGGATGGATACCAACAGCTAAACCACTACAGGAACATCTATTAAAGGTGAACTGATGCACAAGAGAAATTAAAGTCACTCCTACACTTGCTCACTGCAACCTGAAATACTCTTGAAAGATATATGTATGCCCTAGTTTTGCTAACATGATGGGAAATGGGAAACTTTCATCCTAATTTCTAAATCCTAGTCCAGAATCCCCGTAACCACTAATAAAAATCTGCCTAATCTTTCCTTTCAGGTTTGGAAAAAGAAAAGATATTCCAAAAAAGGTTTGTTTTTGCCTCTGATCCCACTGTTCCTTTGCTTCTCTCCTATCTATCATTCGGCTGTAATACATTACACCTGAGGGAAGGGGCCTTCAGCAAAAAACAATGTTTCCTATTATAATGAAAGGGAGATTGAAGACTGGCCATTTTAAGAGCCCATGGAGCTTATTCCAAAGGAACCAGAGCATCTTTAAATGTTTTAATGCTCGGAATGGCAAGCATTTCTCCACATAATCACTAGGAATAGAATGTAATGTTTCCTGTTAGTGAAATAAACTTGCTTTACATAAAAATAGCCAGAGAGAGACTGACTGTATGCATATGTGTATGTATATATGTAGTCCTCAACTTATGACAATTGGGACCAGGATTTCCGTTGCTAAGGTGGTTGTTAAGTGAGTTGCACTCAATTTTTTGCCATGGTTATTAAGTAAATCACTGCAGTTGTTAAGTGAATCATGTCACTAAGCAAATCTGGCTTTCCCTATTGATTCTGCTTGTTGGAAGTTGGCTGGGAAGGTCATAAATGGCAATCACATGACCCTGGGATGTTGCAACCATCATAAATGCATACCAGTTGCCAAGCATCCAACTGGCAATCACATGACCATGAGGATGCTGCAACATTCATTATGTGCAAGGACTAGTTTTAATCATTTTTTTTCCGTACAATTGTAACTTCAAATGGTTGCTAAGCGAATGGTTATAAATCAAGGACCACTTTTATATATAAAAATTTATATTGAAAAATATAAAAATGTGTTTCTCATGAGCAGACAGACTACAGGAAGTAGGCTAGCTCCATTTTTTTAGTCAACAGTACTCTCCAAGATCATGCTACTGAAATTCAGTGGTTGAACACTGATTTTCAGCAGTGCAATTGTTCTTTTAATTAAATCAGGCCTTAAATAAGCCTCTGTGAAGTTTAACATACTTATTTGATCTTATTTCCACCCAAAAGCTGAAAATGTCAATCCGTTCACTCTAAGGACATTGTCACATCTTCCTGCGGTCCTTGAGACTGCTCTCCTAGTTTTGTTTTGTTTTTTAATCATGGTCTGGGCCACAAAAAAGATTATACATTCTCTGTAGTCCTATGTGCTGTTCTGCCAGTAAGCATTGCCATACTTATGGGAAACCCCCAAATCTATACAGTAGAACAGAAATTGAGCAGCATAGGCAAACCTTCTCATCAGGTAGCAGGATATTTGTTTGTCTCCCTTTCTATTTATTTATGCATACAATTTATATGGCTACTGCTCTTACAGGAATGAGTCTGGGAGATGAACAAAAGACTAAAACCAAGAAAAACCAAACATCGTGATTAATTAAAAAAATAAGTTCAAAACTACCAATACATAGGGTGTCTCGAAGAGCATTCAGAAGCTGTAATTAATCCAGAATATAGCAGTGGGGGCAGTTGGAGCATTTCATGATACGCTCATAAAATGTGGCATGAGCCTTGGTGGCGCAGTGGTTAGAATGCAGTATTGCAAGCTAATTTTGCTGATTGCCGACTGCCAGCAGTTTGGCAGTTCGATCCTCACTGGTTCAAGGTTGACTCAGCCTTCCATCCTTCCAAGGTCAGTAAAATGAGGACCCAGATTGTTGGGGGCAAATATGCTGGCTCTGTAAACTGCTTAGAGAGGGCTGTAAAGCACTGTGAAGCGGTATAAAAGTCTAAGTGTTATTGCTATTCCATGAGCCACTTGACTTCTAGTGATCTTCTGAGTGCAGTTCAAGATGTTGGTTATCATCTACAAAACAAGATATGCCTGAGATTTAAAAAAGAAAATCATTCCATTCTATAAGCAATAAAAAGACATCAGCCAAACAATGAAGCCAACAGTTTATTTAGCATTCCAATCCAAGTGCCTGAAAGAACAACCAGAACAACCAAATTTTTAACACTGTACAAAAGGACAACAGGACAGGGCTGTCCAAAATTCAAGGGGGTGTTGTTCCAACAGGGCATGTCATGACAGACATGACTCCTGCATGCTGCTTAATTGAAGGACTGCCAAGCGTGCCCACCTGATTGGCTCGGGTGGGGCAAGCTGAAACAGAGACTAGCAGTTTCACAAATAACCTGATCCTGTGCCTTGGATTTTGTAGATACCATAATAACCAACATCTTGTTTTGAATTCAGAAGATCGCTAGAAGCCAGCTTGGCTTATGGAGTAATGGTGTTATATCAGTATCATGAAATGCCCCAAACTACCTACACTGCTACATGCTGGATTAATTACAGCTTCTGAATGCTCTTCAACAACACCCTATATACAGTATATTATAGTAATTCAAACAGGAGGTGAGAAGTGTAAATTACAGTGAACTGGAGCATCCTGATCGAGAAAGGGACACAATAGATGCACAACATGAACCTGGGCAAAGGTTCTCCTAGCCACAGCTGCCACCTGCTGTAAAATGTAAATCCAAGGGACAGCACTCCATCAGGTCCTTCAACTACTGACCACTGCATCTTATTAAAAGATAAGGCCACTAATTCCACTGCAACACAGAACATCTACAATAAAATCATTACTAAAAATACAAAACCATAGGCATCAGGAGAAAGGTTATTCATTCTGTACACAATGCAACCCCAGGATCCACCACCCGGTTTAACCTAAGGACTGTGGGAAGAGCCAGATATAAGGGCTCTCTTAATCATGGTCAGAATAGGGTCAGAGCAATCTCATCAGGAAAATTGTTCCAGAGAGCAAGCCTGTCACAGATAAGGCATGCTTCTTAGATCTCATTAGGGGACACAGGTTAATGGATGGGACTTGGAGCATGCTCACTCTGCCAAATCAGATGGGATGAGCAGAAACTATGGAAGGTGCTTTCTTAGATCTTAGCAGCCTGATACCATTATGGGCTATTTAGTTTATAATTGCTACCTTGAATTACTCAAATAGGAAATACTGTAACTGGTAATCAGTACAGCTCATGAAGCAAATCTGTTACATGGGTCATCAGCGGTCCCCAACCTTTATGGTTTGGCAGCCCTGCAGGGGGAGGGAGAGGGGAACCAGCCTGCTGCTTGCACAAGTCAAGCTGCGTATGCATGCGCGTGCGCACCAACCTGCCACTTGCGCAAGTCAAGCTGCACATAGCACGCACATACACCAGCCAGCCGGTCAATCAATCC